TGCGCTCAAATTATCCCGGGAAATTCGTAACATCTGTGGTCTAGATGCTAATAATCTAGGAATTGCAGACGAAAACTGACTAACTGGTAGGAGAAGCAGCAGAGACAGGAATTAGAGAAACACAGGGAAGACGGAGGTAATGAAGGTGACCAACGAACAACTACGACAACAACAACAACAACAGCAACAGAAACAACCACCAATCACCATCACCGGAAGAAATTTGGAAGAGATCACTTCCTTCACTTTTCTAGGCAACATCATTCCAGCTACGGACTGGTAAAGATGAGGATGTCTAAATCAAGGTGGTAAAGGTGACGCAGACCTTCATCACTCCGAGGTCAGTTTAGAAATCTTCTGAACTCAACATGAAGAGCAGCACTCGGATTTTCAACACCAATGTCGAGTCAGCCAATGCTTCTATATTGGTCAGAAACACGACACACACTTCAGCCAAAGCATTCTCAACAGGCTACAGCAGACATTAATCAACATTTGACTTTTCTGGCTACATAGTGAAGACAGGATAGAGAGAATGGGTAAGAAGAAACTCTGAGAAGAAGCCAATCGAGAACCAACCACGCAAGAAGTATGCAGAAGAAAGTGGAGATGGATCGGACACACGCTAAAGAGAAAGTCAGATGAAACCGCTTGCCATGCCATCGCTCGAGTGGAACTCGAATGTGAAATGACGAATGAGGCATCTTAGGATGAAATGAAGGAGATTTTGTGTGAGGGGGAGATGATGGACTATGGGCCATCGTGGGACCATATAACGAGTAAAACAGAAAATAGGAAGAGTGAGTACGTGCTGTTGAAGCCGCATTCATTTCTTGGACCTTAAAGCAACACTGATAATAATAATATTTGGAAGCGTATGTTTGATTTGTAACAGACGTAAGCATTTATCCAATGACGCTAAGAATCCCTTTATGCTGAATCGGAGGTGTGCATTAACTTCCCTTCTATTCCGTCTCCATTCAGCACTAGGCTACTATTGCAACAGTTAGTAGCATTATGACAATTAGAAAACATTTCTCCAACTCTCATCACCGAATATTTTCTCAAGGCACCGATCGAAACGTTAACAAGTGCAAAAATCCCATCTGCACAAACCTCAGCGAAGTCGACACAAACAATGTCAACGTCTTGTTCGGAAAACTGCTCCAAACTCCACGGAAATAAACGAAATCGAAATATTAAGCTTCATATGAAGGGACATATACTTTCTTTGAAATTCAAATCCAATTACATCTGAGTCATGAATAGTCAGTCATCGAGGACACAAACACAAACAAAATTGCACCCATCATGATCAAGATTTGATCGACTTCTTCCACAGATTTCTTATCAGTCTACTTTGTTTTACACTGTGAACAGTGTGTAATTTCACATCAATCTTCGCTGAGAATGTTCAAAGGAAGATCATGGTGATGCGGAAGACAGTAAGGAAATCTGGATTAGAAAATATGTCTGTGATATGCGATAGTGTGTATCACTCCTCAGCACATTCAATAGAATGACAAAAATAAAACGACGTTAATGCCGGTTGAAATTTTGAGTCATCAGTGTGTCAATTTAAGTTTCTAAATCTACTCATATATCACATACACATTCAAAACATTGTTAATTTCAGTGAAATATTTACTATTACTTTGGAAAATACAGAGAGTAGGCTTCATATATTAGGCACGAAAAATGAGTGAAACACATCCGTTCTACTTAATACCCAAGACTTTCTATGCTATAGTTAACATCGCACTGCCACATCCATTCAAACTTCGCGGGTTCATCCATTTACGTGGAATCTGTGCAGTTAATCGTTCTTGATATAAAATAAGACCTTTCTGCAGACACTTGCTCTGTTGGAGCAATAAGTATGCAAGCAGTTAACAACCCAGGGCTGTGTTTGTGCCAGTTTAATTCTGTGTAACGAAAGACGACTTAGTAAAGAGTCCAAGGCGATGTGTAGTCAAGCAATGCACATCAGCCGTATTTGCCTGCTCCTTGTCTGAGGAGAAAACAATGCTATGTTGAATGACAGCACTTCTAGTCTGTTTGCAAGCGAACTGTTTCGGATCGTTACAACTCTTCGACGAGGCTTAAAGTTTGAATAGATATGATTTCTGCATCAATTCCAAAACGGTGAAGTAATCTCAACAGGTCTAAATTAACAGTAATTCCAGGGCATGATTTCGCTGACGGAATAATTCTAATGTCTTCGAGTGCTGCAGGTACAAGATTACTGGAAAAAGAAGCATTGAAAATATTCGTAAGAGGACAAGATGAAATGTCAGCTAAAATGTCTCATAAGAACTGCAGCAGATACACCATCAGAAAGAAGGCTTTTGGAGGGCTCTAGTGATTTGAGATATCTGGGAGCGTCAGCAGTGTTACAACCATGGAAGTCAAAATCCTTGTTGTGTGTGGCAGTAGGCATGAAAGCGTCATTACGAGAGCGGATGAAAAGTTTGTTAAGAGTATTGACATCAACAGGGGCACAGAAATTCTCTGCTTGCTACTAACAGCGATTTCATCAGTTAGTGTTATTCAGCGTGTATCTGAGGTTGTGTATATTGTCCTGTGAGTAGCATTTATGTTGCTTCGTCTTGTAGAGATGATGAAGGATATTTGTGTACGACGACATACATTTCGGGCGCACTCGAACAATTCAAAAGTCAGAATCCATCATTGCGGTGCGTTTTTGTGCTTCACATATTCCAGCACCACAGTTGAGCCCTAAATCAGGTGTTTCATGAAGTCGAGTAGCAAAGTTGACAATGTTTAAATTACTCAATGATTCAGGGAGAGGACAGTCGCAGGAGGTGTAGTCACCAGTGACTGTTCATAAGGAGTTCTCAAGATGAATGCCAGTAAAGGCGGTAAATTTAACTACAAAATTTCAAAGATCAGAGAGGTGAAAGCGAGAAGTAGCGTAAATCCTCAAGATGAAAATGTGTTATTGCTTTGTTCAGTGTGTGTGACGACATTCGACTGTAATACAGTCAATAAAGTCACTGGAGTATGTATATTTCCTATGGCATAGAAAGTCTTGAGTATTAAGTAGAACGGATGCGTTTCACTCATTTCTCGTGCCTAATATATGATGCTTACTCTCTGTATTTTCCAAAGTAATAGTAAATATTTCACTGAAATTAACAATGTTTTGAATGTGTATGTGATATATGAGTAGCTTTAGAAACTTAAATTGACACACTGATGACTCAAAATTTCAACCGGCATTAACGTCGTTTTATTTTTGTCATTCTATTGAATATGCTGAGGAGTGATACACACTATCGCATATCACAGACATATTTTCTAATCCAGATTTCCTTACTGTCTTCCGCATCACCATGATCTTCCTTTGAACATTCTCAGCGAAGATTGATGTGAAATTACACACTGTTCACAGTGTAAAACAAAGTAGACTGATAAGAAATCTGTGGAAGAAGTCGATCAAATCTTGATCATGATGGGTGCAATTTTGTTTGTGTTTGTGTCTTCGATGACTGACTATTCATGACTCAGATGTGATTGGATTTGAATTTCAAAGAAAGTATATGTCCCTTCATATGAAGCTTAATATTTTGATTTTGTTTATTTCCGTGGAGTTTGGAGCAGTTTTCCGAACAAGACGTTGACATTGTTTGTGTTGATTTCGCTGAGGTTTATGCAGATGGGATTTTTGCACTTGTTAACGTTTCAATCGGTGCCTTGAGAAAATATTCGGTGATGAGAGTTGGAGAAATGTTTTCGAATTGTCATAATGCTACTAACTGTTGCAATAGTAGCCTAGTGCTGAATGGAGACGGAATAGAAGGGAAGTTAGTGCACACCTCCGATTCAGCATAAAGGGATTCTTAGCGTCATTGGATAAATGCTTCAGCTTGTCTCATATCACACATTGTCTTGCCACAATCTTGTGTATAGCAGACCCTCTACAATAGCATTTCTCACTCATATTTTACCACCGCGCTTATTATGACATCAGTGTATAATTTTTTGGGGGGTTGTGGAAATTGGATGCTATGAAGGCTTCTATTTCGATCACGGAATGGTATTATTTTGAGAACCATGGTGCATTGAACTGCAGTTCCGTTAATCAATACGCTATCGTGACCTTGGGTTTACGAGGGAGGCCGCTTGACTTTCAGCCATTGGGGTGGTATCCAATGACCCATGAATTCTAACTCCTGCCAATTCGTCATGTTAGCACGACCACCAGCCAATATCATCAGCGAGGATTGTATTGATGTCAGACCATGGTAAAATGGGCTTAGATATAGATATCATGGATATATGGATATAGAAATCTTCATACAGCGCGTCTGTGAAAGTCTAGACATTTTCGCCAATTGTAAGTTATTGTTAAATGAATTATCGCCACTTAATCGGTAAACTGTTGTGTATTGTAATAAAAATTCTGCATATATTAGATTAGGGCCAGAGATGAGGATCTAATTGAAAATAAAATATTTTACGCTCAGTAATTTGCTGCAAAACAGGTGTCTCTGATAAGCATGGTCTGAAAATATCACCTGTGTTCTGTAAAAAATGCAGCGTGTAAATCACGTAAAAGCTGCACAATCGGAGCACCAGCTAATTACACAATGTTGGATGAGAGAACACAGATGAGCTATTGTGTTCAGAATGAAGTGTAACGTATGCAAAGTGTTTCATCACCATCTGAAATCACTAATCAGACACAATGTTTAAGTTGGAACATGTTGTATTTACTGTGGACACCCGCTTTAGATGGCCTCCTGACGAAAACCTTCATTATATAATAAAACGAGGATCACCGGAATGTACAACAACGACAAATTTTGACTTGTGTTTTATGACCACAATATTGGTGTCAAACATTTGGCTAACTAGTTGCGCATCAAACACTAAGTAGTTGAAAAGGCGAACGATATCGATATCACTTCTACTGCCCTGGTCGTGAAAATAACACAAATTATTATGAACAGTTGATATCAGAATGGAAGACGACATCACAACTCTGAGTATATTTCAGTGTAGAGAAACGAAAGTGGAAAACATACTTCAGTGTAATGATGGGTTACAAAATGAGTGCATGTTAGAATAAGCAGGAGAAATGTCAGAATATATAGAGCAATAAGTATTTGTGATTCGATTATATCATCAGAATAGAGTTGTGCATAAAATTTAGAAGCGAATCTTCTCCACTTCATCCAACCAATTATTTGATTAATATGATTACAGGTAAGACAATAAGTTTGTGAAAAGAATCCCAGAACGTGTTTTGAATGCAGTGTCAGTGAATGAGAGGAATTTACAAAGAGAAATCGAAGATATATGCTGGATAACTCGGTGGTCCTGGAGTTAAGCCGAATACCTGAGTTTCTCGGCATCGAACTCCATTGGTGTGTGTCTTATGCTTTCCAAATAATAATACGCAGATTGTAGTTGTTGTATTCGCTTCTCATCGTAACAATGTTTCTGGCCAGCTTGCAGTTGGTCACCGAGGTAACACAAGAGTGTTTTCACTGTGCAAATTTTGTCTTGTGTGCACTCTTTAATAAACTGAGTGTTACTCATATCCACAGTATATCTCATTGAGGACAAAACCCATTGAGAACGGGAAGCTGCTGTAGAGAGAATCAGAGAAATGCAGTAAATGTATTTGAGAGGAGGAAACAGTTCTACTCTATCATAAAATGCATGCCACTCCAATAATCACCCGAACAGAGCATAATTATGGATTGCTTCATGTTAATGGAGGATGACATTGGAAAATCAGCCACTGTTGCTAAATTTGCATAGATTGATGTATGAAGAGTAATTAAATCAGTTCGTTATGCTATAATCACGGTGTTCGTCGATATGAAACAGGATTTATCACTATCAGATTTCACTTTTAAATGTCTGATGAGTTGGTGAAGACGTCAACACGAAGAATTTATCTCACCTTTCTCTCAAACAATCATACCTACTTCGAATACGGCGGTGAACATACAGAGAAATCAACCAACATATAACTTATCAAAGCTGTATATGTATCAGATTATAGTGGAATACTTTGATAGAGGTCTGATAGAATAGTACAAGACTTCACTAGCACTACGATGGATAACCACGAGTGTAGAAGAGGGACTAATTTCACTGAGTGTATTCACTGCTTGCATTGATCTGAAAGTACGCTTGTCCTGTCATTGAAATTTTATTTTATATTCGTCGGAAGGAAGAGGAGGGAACACTTCTCTTCAACCTATGTCATATTTTCCTTGTGTTGTCAACATTTATACTAGAGACGGTATTGGATTCGTCCAAGTAAGTTGTGAGTGTATTCAAACATATTTCTAGATACATAAATCTACGTATATGTAGGTATAGATAGGTGGAATATTATACATACTCTGATGACAGCTGGACATCACTCATAACGGTAACATGGTGTACATTTGTTTCTCATGGCTCAGCTGACACAGCATCCCTATAAGCAACCCGTGGCTGAAGATTCAATTTATGCAGATATCCACACACAATCTTGCATCTCCAATCATCACTCTTAACACAGGCATATCAAAGTATTCAAAATATTTCAGTGAATCAATTTCACTTCAGTAAAATACACTGAACTCACGTTTGAGAATATCACTTTTAGTTTTGTTCAAACATGTTTCGAATTGCTTTCTAGCCTCACATTCCGTATGGGTTCCAGTAGATTTACATTCGTTTAAAAGACACAAAAGCACTGTCACCTGTGATAAAAAATACAAACATAGAATGAAATATCCTTCAAAGAAAATCAGACAACATACGCTGAAGCAGATGAATACAGTTTTCACGGATGCGTTCATTCTCTCCGTTTCCTAATATACACGACAATCTAAATATACTTCAGATGGTATGCACCAGTTAACAGTATACACAATGTATTTATATATATCTGTGTATCTACGAGTAAACAAAACAAGGGGGTAAAGTACACGTTGATATCTACTGATACACTGAATTCTTATTCTTAATTAATGAGTAAATTCCTTTTGTAGTAATTATGTGACCATTATTTCTCTTAGAGATATATTGTGCTTTCTGATTCTAGCTAATTAGTTATCAGCTAAATTTTCAGTCTAACTAATCAATGAGTATTAATCTTGCTTCATCATTGTAGGTGGTTATCAAGCTCCGTCTTCTGTTTGTCTACAGCTTCATCATCTAAACATACACTTCACTGATCACTGACAAAATGTTTTTCACTATACAGCAATGAAGTATAGATGAATGACAATTGAATTCCTAATGCGTCGTGGCATAGCGGTTAGGACGCTCGCCGACCATGCACATGGTCTAGGGTTCGAAACCCTTTACCTCGCTAAGCCAGCAATAAAAGCTGATAAAGAGGAAAAGTTGGGCATGAGACTAGCAACCTCATCCTGTCAAAATAAACACTGCTACAGAAACTTCAAGCTTCTAGTTTGAAGCCCTATGTCCACTGGAAGTGAAGAAATTGAATTCCTACTATCAATATCTGGAGATAGAAATTGTAGGATAATGAGAGAGATTTGTTGAAGTAGCACAGATTGATAAGAGATGATCTCAGGCGAATTGATTCCAGTATAGTTTGTTACATTGATGTCGTTTGTTCGAGGGTGGTTTTCACTGGAATATGCGATGGACGTTCTTTTGATTATAAGGCAGGAGAGTGTAATATGTCTAAACTGATTGAAATATAAATATAATTTTACGCATTCTTCATTTTCCCGCATCGCACCTAATATCGCATGTATCATTTATCGCTCCAGCTGGTAGTAAACATTTCTGTTTATTTGACAGCAATGGAGTGGTGTGTTTCGTGCTGTACTTCATGACAAATTATCCGTTAGTTCCTTACAGGTGCACTTGACATCGCAAATAGTCAATTTTTATAAGAATGATAATAATACAAATAGTTGTTTTGTGTGTACATTAAATTTGTCAAGCGAAAGTAAAATTAGTAAGTTCAGATGAGTTGGACGTTGATATATGAGTTGTCATAAATTATTGATAAATAAGAGTTACGTGATGGCGTGAACAGTTTGATGATGGAATTGTGGTCAGGGTGTACATGGAAACAAAACATATGGAATTACACAAGAAAAATAAGCATACAAACAAAAGTTAAGTCAAATCAAACAAACAAACAAAAGTTGGGTCAAATCAACGGAGTTGTTACCATGAGAGTAGAAGTGGTTGAATAATTTTCTTTTGTATGCACAGTTCTGGTTCCTCCAACTGAATGGCTAGGGCTTCTGCGATGCAAAGGAGACGGAATCGTACTGTCTTTGGAAGGGTATTCTTCACTTTGTAGATTACTTTGAAGGAGGCGTTTGTTGAGATAGAATGAGCAGTGTTGACGAGGTATTCGATTATTGCACTCCTTATTCAGTCATTACTTTCTGAAGCCACGCTGGATAATGTTATTTGACCCTTTTTGACATGATGCGCGTTGAAAGACCTATGTACCTGGCTCCACAGCAACAGGCAAACAGAGGTGGAGATTCTCCTTATAAGGACGTCACTGAGTAGGTCTCCTTTGAAGTCGAGGTTCATATAAAGTATCTTTTTTGGCACGGATGCTGTCTCTCCCTTTTGGATTTTTTATTTGATGTTTTTGCCTACGAATATTGATGGGTAGGCGTTTTGTATGAGGATTTCTTTCAGGAAGTTTAGTTCTTCTTCCATGGTATCAGAGCTGCAGATGCGTCTGACGCAAGTGGCAAGAGATCTAATTAGGTTTCTTTTCTGAGTGATTGGTACCCATCTGTAGAAGCTTGTCATTTGGCCGTTCCATGTGGGTTTCCTATGGATGGACCTTCTTAAAGTTCCGTCGGCTCTCCTTGTAAGTTCAGCATCAAGAAAAGGGATTTTAGATTCGTTTTCAATTTCAAGAGTGAACTTTGTGGCTGGATGGCATTTGTTGAATATTTGCAGTAACTGATTGAGATCGTGACCATCATCACAGATAATAAATATGTCATCCACATATCTCACATACAATTGGAAATTGTCAATAGTTGATTTGAGTGCGCCGTTCTCGAGGCTTGCCATGAAGCAGTCTGCTAGTAATGAGCCCAGTGGAGATCCCATTGTGACCCCATCTTGTTGTCGGTAAATAACCTCGTTGAATGTGAGTTGTACATTGAGTGTACATCTCAGCAGTAGTTCTTTTAAACAAGTCGTCGGTAATTCGATGTTCAGCTGATTTTCGTCTATGTATTGACAAATGTGACAGTTTCTGTGAGTGGAACGTTGGTAAATAGTGACTCATTGTCGAGGGAGAGCATATTTTTGTTCTTTACATTGATACCTTTGGTGTGATCGACGAACTGGAAAGCGTCACGAAGCGAATAGTGGCACATTCGTTTTCGTACTGGTTCTAAAATTTGAGCTAGCCATTTCGCTATTGGATGGTGTGGGGAACCTGACATATCGAGAATTGGACGCAGTGGGAGTTTGGCTTTATGTATCTTTGGTAAGCCGTACAGTCTTGGTATTATTGATCTTGTCGGTCGGATCTGATCATAGACTTCATGACTGATGAACTTTTAGGTTTGCATTCTCTTAAGAATATCGGTGAGTTGTTTTTAAATCTGTTCTGTTTTGTTTCTTTCATTGGGTGGTTGCGAAAATTTTGTTTTGTCTGACAAAATGTGGTTCATTTTCTCAATATAGTCTTTCTTGTGCATAAGGACTATGTCAGCTCTTTTATTGAGATGAGTTATTAGGAGGTCTTTATTTTGTTTCAGTTGATTTAATTCTTCTCTATGTTGCCTTGTTAGGTGATTGTATACTTTTGGTTTTGTATTCAGATACTGATAACAGCAATCAATTATTGTTGATTTGAATCGCTGCATTTCTTGTTCGGACGTTGGAGTTAAATCATTTGTTTGGGTGATTAGGTTTTCGAATTGTATATGAGTATGTAGTCTGTTAGCGTTTAGGTTGACGCCGCAGAACTTTGGACCCATGGATAGGGCTTCTAACTGCAGGTTGGATAATACTACTGAAGAGTAGTTAAATACGAATTTTGAAGGGTCTTCAGGAAACTGTTTGTGTGCTTTGATGGATTTGAGGGTTTTTGTGAGTGGCAACATAGTAGATTGTGCCGTTTTTCATTGATTGTATTGACGTATGCAGTAAACCTCTGAGTTTCACTAGGTAGCAGATTGTGGAGGGCTGGAGACCTTTGTGAAATGTTGCGTTGTTGTTCTGGAATACGTGCTTTAACGAAAACAGACTCTTCGCTGAACTAATTGTCTTCTGTCTGTTACTGTTCGAATGAGAATTTTTCATGAATAATACAAACAACAACACTGATGATGATGATAGTGATAATACTATGACAACTATTACTAATTATTATAATTATAGTAATAATAATGATTCTATCAATAAGGAAGTAGAAAACGTGTAGCGATCTGTGCTATCAAGGTTAATGGAATGCAACTCAGTTGTAGAAACAAATATTCAGATGGAAGTTGTCCATTTAATAGACAAGTTTGTGTCGAAAATCCCTCCTTCATGATTTATTTATAATGTTCATACTACTTATTTAGACATTCCAAGTGACTTTGTGATTGGCATACGTATTTCCCTTTGATTGTGTATTGTTTATTTGACATTCGCATACCACATGTAGATTTCCAGCTCTATTATTTACTTTTGTCCTTGTCTAATGTTTATTTGTAATACTTCTCTTTGTGTACACTGGAAATGCGTTGTTAAACGATATGAGTTTGTTTGAGTGAAAGAAGGTCATTCTGACCAGGGAAGCCTTGATGTATGTCCATTGGGAGCAGAGCTGTTGGACCCTGCCAGACTTTGAGGAAAATTTTTCAATGGCTGCAATGTTAAACAGGATCCTCTCATAAAACTGAATGGAAAGATGTGTCTTCATCAGCCATGTATGAACTGATGGAACCGATAGGGCTGAGCACTTCACTTCTTCATGGCCTACTCAAACTGCACAACTCTGGCTTTTCTCCGCTTCCAGTATTAGGAATGTATAGTACAACACTTCACGCAACAGCAAATTGGGTGGTTGAGATTCTAGGACCTATGCATGAAAACATTCTGCGATATAGAATTAGTGATGTCTTTGACTTCATTTCTAAAATAATCGAAACTACTATTAGTAATCAACGTTCTTCATACTTGGATGCACTATCACTATTTGCGAATGGCTAGATGGTGAAGATTAAGATGACCAGAAGATGAAACGTGATAACCACCTACAATGATGAAGCAAGATTAACACTCATCGATTAGTTAGACTGAAAATTTACCTGATAACTAATTAACTAGAAGCAGAAAGCACAATATATCTCGAAGAGAAATAATGGCCACATAATTATTACAAAAGGAATTTACTCATTAATTAAGAACAAGAATTCAGTGTATCAGTAGATATCTACGTGTATCTTACCCCCTTGTTTCGTTTACTCGCAGATACACAGATATATATTGTTTATAGTGTGTATATTTAACTTGTGTATACCATCTGAAGTATATTTACATTGTCGTGTATATTAGGAAACGAAGAGAATGAACGCATCTGTGAAAACTGTATTCATCTGCTTTAGCGTATCTACTACTAAGAGTATATTCAGTAGTAGTGCCACTATCATTATTATCAGTGTTACTATCAGTATTATAATTATTGCAATTATAGTGACTATTTGCACAGTATAAAGGCACAATCATATTATCCAATTGACAACTCATCGTCATGTGTTCATGTTTTGATGTGTTTTGTGAAATTCTGTATTCTGTATGTAGTCCAGATGGGGTGTAATGGAAAACAATAGTGCTCGCTTAGTTATTACTCCTGAATATCCCTATCGCATTGTTGAATATTCATCACT